CTATTGAACATTTGAAATGTGAATAGTTCAAACTGAGATATGCTCTAAACGCAAAATACACACCAGATTTTGAAAACATAGCATTTTAACAAGAATGTGAAATATATTGTTAACATTAATTTCATCTGTTTCATTTTACTATTTAAAATATGGCTGGTAGAAAATTTTAAACTATATACAGAGCTGGTCTAGAAATCCAAGCTAAGGAGTTTGTGCTTCATCCTCGGAAGCCATTGTAGGTCCTTGAGTAGGAATGTGAGATTGTTTTTTTGGGGAATTTAGTCTGGCTGTGGCCTGGAAGGTGGCCAGGAGGAAGAACACATTACAAAAGTCCAGGAGGGAGGTTCTGGACTAAGGTCATGGCTATGGGGCTGGAGACAAAAGATACAAGAGACATTTAGATGGAAATACCAACAGGTCTTTGTTATTTTCTGGATATAGTGGGTGGTGAAGAAAGTAGAATCTCTGTTTCATGGTTTCTCACCTGAAAGACTGAGAGAATTTTGGTCTCCCTGATAGAAATGGAGTAATCACAAAGTTTTAGGAGTGATGAGTTAATATTTTTTAACATTTTATTTTGAAATAATTGCTGACTTACAAAAAAGTCACAAAAGTAGTTCATAGAGTTTTCATACACCCTTCACCCAGCTTTCCCACATGTTAACATTTTACACAACCATAGTTTATATTTAAAAATCCTTAATTTATGAACTAATCTATAGACAAAATATTACTAGTTTCACATATAATCAATATAAAAATTATTAATAAGATATTTTATACTTTTTGTGGAGGAGATAAAGTCTTAGAAATCTGGTGTGTATTTCACACTTCCAGCCCATCTCAATTTGCAGTAGCCACATTACAAATGTTTAAATAGGCACATGTAGCTAATAAGCACAGCATTCCTAGACCATCCACAATCTACTCCCAACCTTTCTTTTCAACATTACCTCCTGCTGTACTGCCAAGAAAACTCTCTGCCCTAGCCAGTTTGTTCTGGGCCAGGATGGCAAAAGGTTGACCTCATGTTCTTATTACCTCCCTCCCACAATCATAATAGACATGAATACTCATTCATATGACACCTGCTGAGTCTCCGAATACTTCCCAATATGATGCCCCAGACAACACCAAAAAATGACTAGAGTTGGCACTTAAAATGAAACCCTTTTCCCACCCATTACCTAGTCACTGTCCCCAGCAACATCTAGCTCATTCCTACCTCTAAATTTGCTCCTGCAACTTAGCCAACCTAACAAATTCCTATTTGCCTGGAGAGCCAAACTCAAGTCTCCATTCATACAGTCCTCTCCAGCTCATATTGAACGTTTTTTTTTTAAATAGACGAGTCTCACTCTGTCACCCAGGCTGGAGTGCAGTGGCACAATTTTGGCTCACTGCAACCTCCGCCTCCCAGGTTCAAGTGATTCTCCTGCCTCAGTCTCCTGAGTAACTGGGATTACAGGTGTGCGCCACCACACCTGGCTAATTTTTGTATTTTTAGTAGAGACGGGTTTTCACCATGTTGGTCAGGCTGGTCTCAAACTGCTGACCTCGTTATTTGCCCGCCTCAGGCTCCTAAAGTGCTGGGATTACAGGTGTGAGCCACCGCAGCCGGCCTGTATTGAACATTCTTTCTTCTAATTTCTTTTTTGTTTCCATCCCGCACATTATTGCTTAGTGTTTATTTCTTCTGCAATGGTTTCATTTAGTTCTGTCTTCCCAACTCCTTGAAGATAGGTACTGTGTTATATCATTTTTTTTTTTTTTTTTTTTTTTTTTGAGAGGAGTCACTTCGTTGTCCAGGCTGGAGTGCAGAGGTGCAATAATGACTCACAGCAGCCTTGAATTCCTGAGCTCAGTTGATCTTCCCACCTCAGTAGCTGGGACTACAGGCACGCACCACCACACCCAGTTATTATTATTATTATCATCATTATTATTATTATTGGAGCACGGGGGGGGGGGTCTCTCTTTGTTGCACAGGCTGGAGTTGAACTCCTGGCCTCAAGCAATCCTCCCACTTCAGCCTCCCAAAGTGCTGGGATTATAGGTGTGAGCCACTGCACCTGGCCTGTTATATATTTTTCTATGCTCACATGGATTGTGGGAGAATGCTGTGCATAAAGTAGATGTTCCATGAAAACTTCTTGGTTGATAGAATGGTTATAACACACATTGTTTTTATGTCTTCTATCAATTACGTTTAAGCCTAAATCTATTTTTTCGTAACTACTGCTCCAAAACCTAAAATGGTCACATGACTGATATCATGAATAGGCAAAATACTTAAATTGGTCTCGCAAATGTTGGCTTAATGTAATCTTTTTTTTTTTTTTTTTTTTTTTAAGACGGAGGCTCACACTGTTGCCTAGGCTGGAGTGCAGTGACGCGATCTCGGCTCACTACAACCTCTGCTGCCCAGGTTCAAGTGATTCTCCTGCCTCAGCCTCCAAAGTAGCTGGGATTACAGGCACGTGCCACCATGCCCGGCAATTTTTTTTTGTGTGTGTGTGCTTTTAGTAGAGACTGGGTTTCACCATCTTGACCAGGCTGGTCTTGAACTCCTGACCTAGTGATCCACCTGCCTCGGCCTCCCAAAGTGCTGGGATTACAGGCGTGAGCCACTGTGCCTGGCCTTTGCTTAATATAATCTTATACTTGTTTAGATATTGGTCATCAGGCTCCAGTCCCTGCTCCACTACTTACTAGCATTGTGTTTCAAAGTAAGTCAGTCACATAAACCCTTAGATTTTGTTTTCTCATCAATAAAGTGAGGTTTATAATGCCTTACCTATCTTACATGATTGGTGTGGGTATCAAATGAGGTAGTATAGTATATACATGAAAGCACTAGACATTTGCAGTCAGAGAGGCCTAGGCTTGAATCCAGGCTCTGCCACTTACTGTATATGTCACCTTTATCAACTTACTTATTTGTTTCTCAGTTTACTCATTTGCAAATATAGGCACAATAATATCTAAATCTCAGTGCTATAAGTGACTTGAAGTTTGTGAGGAGTTTAGCACATTGCTGCAGACATTGACGTCACTCAATAAGTGATATACTGTGAATGAGGTCAAAGTGCCATGAACAGGTGATTATTATTCATTATTAATCTTCCCAAAATAGTTTGATGTGAAAGCAAATAGATAACCATTTTCGATACACTGCATCATTGACTACTTTCCACTAAATTCAAAAAAAGTCTTCTATGGTAAAGTTTGCAAACATATGTAAGAGTGGAAGAGTGATTAGAAATGAACTCCCACCTTATACATGAAATTCTTTATTTGACTTTTTAATAATCGCCATTCTGATTGGCGTGAGATGGTATCTTATCGTTGTTTTGATTTGCATTTCTCTAATAAGTGATATTGAGCCTTTTTCATATGTTTGTTGGCCACATAAATGTCTTCTTTTGAGAAGTGTCTGTTCATGTCCTTCGCCCACTTTTTGATGGGATTGTTTGTTTTTTTCTTGTAAATTTCTTTAAGTTCCTTGAAGATTCTGGATATTAGACCTTTGTCAGATGGGTAGATTGTAAAAATTTTCTCCCATGCTATAGGTTGACTGTTTGCTCTGATGATAGTTTCTTTTCTTTCTTTCTTTCTTTTCTTTCTTTCTTTCTTTCTTTCTTTCTTTCTTTCTTTCTTTCTTTCTTTCTTTCTTTCTTTCTTTCTTTTTTTTTTTTTGAGACAGAGTCGTGCTCTGTCTCCCAGGATGGGGTGCAATGGTGTGATCTTGGCTCACTGCAACCTCTGTCCCCCAGGTTCAAGCGATTCTCCTGCCTCAGCCTCCTGAGTAGCTGGGACTACAGGCGTGCACCACTCACGCCCAGCAAATTTTTTGTATTTTTAGTAGAGATGCGGTTTTGCCATGTTGGCCAGGCCGGTCTCAAACACTGCATGTTCTCATTCATAAATGGGAGCTGAACATTGAGAACACACGGACACAGGGAGGGGAACAACACACTGGTGCCTCTCAGAGGGGTGGAGGGAGGGAGAGCATCACATCAGGACAAATAGCTAATGCATGCAGGGCTTAATACCCAGGTGATGGGTTGATAGGTGCAGCAAACCACCATGGTACACGTTTACCTATGTAATAAACCTGCACGTCCTATGCATGTACTCTGGAACATAATAAAATAAAATAAAATACTATCGATTTGTTATTTTTTAAAATTGTTTTATTTTACTTGAAATTTTGTCAATCAAATGAAATAGCTCTTCTAAATTGCCTATATGTCTTTTTGGCTTTGAAGAAAGTGGTTAAATCAATTCCAAGAAAAAAAATATGATTTGAAGTGAGAAATTAAACTTTATATTTGTGATCAAGGAAGGATCTTCTATATGACCCTTACTCATCAAGTCATAGAATCATGAAATATATTAGTGGAAATGGCTATTAAGGACAATCTGCCAAGCCCTTCATTGTATAGGTGCAGAAATTGAGGTCCAGATAGGAGAAATAGTCCAAGTTTACTTAGATAGTTTGTGAAAAACACCAGGGCTCTAACTTTCATCTTTTGACTTTTTTTTTTAATGGAATCTCACTCTGTCACCCAGGCTGGAGTACAGTGGCAGGATCTCGGCTCACTGAAACCTGTGCCTCTTGGGTTCAAGTGATTCTCCCACCTCAGCCTCCCAAGTAGTTGGGATTACAGGTGCGAGCCACCATGCCTGGCTAATTTTGTATTTTTAATAGAGATGAGATTTCACCACATTGGCCAGGCTGGTCTCGAACTCCTGACCTCTGGTGATCCACCCTCCTAAGCTTCCCAGAGTGCTACGATTACAGGCATGAGCCACCGCGCCCAGCCTTGTATTAAGACTGTATTCTTTCCATTGCACCATGTCTCGTCAGGTGGATAGACATCCAAGAAAGACACCATTCTTTCTTCAGGACTGTGTAAGGCAGAAGTAAAAAGATTTAGAAAAAAACTTCAAATTGTGTACTTTGATACTGAACGTATACAGAAAATAACAATTCTTTAGCCAGATCCCGTATGTTCATGAGCAGTCACTTGGACCAAACCTATAGGAGAAAATAAAACTGGCATAAATGTATACCACTTGTCATTGACTGACGCCTCCCACATCTTTTGCAACTGAATTATGTGACATGATGTATGGGTCTTATAAAAACACTTATTCCAAATCATTTACATTAGCTGTCGAGTCCTCGTGATAGTGATGGACTAAATGTCTTTAGAGGACTATGCACAAACTGACCTCGCATGTTTTCTCATTGCAAAAGCAAATATAATAACATCAGCCTCCTGCTTATATTTATATGATAAAGTCCATCCAATTAGTATTTTTTCACAAGAATGCTAACTCTGTGAGAGCAAAGAGATTGTTGTCCATTTTGTTTACTGCTCTGCTCCATTGCCTAGAAGAACAGGTGGTATTTTCTGAGTTCCAGTTTCATATTTAGATTTCCTTCTTATCTTGACTTAATTCAATAATAGTTAAAATGAATCTATGATGTAATTATTGCATAAAAATAAGCAAAGTACCCAAGCTGAAACTGTACACTAGAGATTTTCTCATTTTCTCATGAACTTATTGAGCCCTCATAGCAATTAGAGACCTTTCCAGGACTTTCTTAAGACGTAGTACTTTTATGATTTTTTTTTTTTTTTTTTTTTTTTGAAACGGAGTCTGGCTCTGTCACCCAGTCTAGAGTGCAGTGATGCAGTCTTGGCTCACTGCAGGCTCCGCCTCCCGGGTTCACGCCATTCTCCTGCCTCAGCCTCCCAAGTAGCTGGGACTACAGGAGCCCGCCACCACTCCCAGCTAATATTTTGTATTTTTAGTAGAGATGGGGTTTCACTGTGTTAGCCAGGATGGTCTCGATCTCCTGACCTTGTGATCTGCCCGCCTCGGCCTCCCAAAGTGCTGGGATTACAGGCATGAGCCACCGTGCCGGCCACTTTTATGATTCTTAATCAGAAACTCCAATCAATGAGGAAGTGGGTCCAGAGTCTGTCCTGACTCACATCCTTCCACGTGTTTTATCTCTCTTTAAACAGTGAAACTAGTAATGGGAAAAATGTCTAATTGCATCTTTTATATAGCACCTTATTATATAAAGCAATGAATTCTAAATGAAGTCAAGTGAATTCTAAACATGAAGCAATAAAGTGTTTAGTAAAACCACGAGGAACCCAAAGAATGCAAAAGCTATTTATAAATAGGATTTTTGTTTCTTTTCTCTTTTTTTGTGGCACCTGATGTTACAAATGTGATTAATCTCACATAATTCTATCATATTTAAACTAGAAGCATAGAGTAGAACAAAGGGAAGAATACTAAATAAGATAGTGTGGTACTTAGGATAGGAACTGGAAGCTAGCAGTGGGAGGGGAAGTGGAGAGATGGGAGGAGCAGCTTTGCAAGTGGTTCATAAATAATGGCCTGCATCCCATCTGACAACATATAAAAATAAAAGAGAGTAATACAGTTTGTTACTGTTTAGAAATGAAATGAAATTTTAAAACGTTTCAAATGAGCAATTTTCTCCTCACATTAGTACTCTGGGGACTGATAAGGCTTTTTCTTTTGTCTCTTCCGGTTGCCTTGAATGGTGATCAGCAATGCATGATCAGCCAAGTGGCATCAGCTCTAATGCTATCATCATATGCCAGCCAGAGGGAATGTGAAAGGGGAAATGGGATTTGCCACTGCAAATACCATCTCGATTAATAAATATCTGAGACACACCAAGAGAGAACAAAATCTATCTTCCTCTTTTTGCATGTACCATGCCTTTTCAGTTATATTACTTGATAATAAACCCTCTTTTACAGCCTGTTGTGTTTCCACGCAGCTGACAAGCAGATCAAATCTCCCCAAAAGGGTCATGTTAATCACCATTTCAAACAGTGATCTAAAAAAAATGCATTCTAACATGCCTTTGCAAAGGTATAATTCAAATGATTACCTCATGTGTTGCAAAGGGGAATCGGGTACTGTCCTGTTTCCATAGCACTCAATTTCACAACATTTTGCAAAACTGCTCTGTGAGATATCTTCCTTCAAGAGTAGCAATATCACAGTCATAACTTTCTAAATTTGGGCCTGCAGTAATGACAGACTTTGAATGAATGCTTTTCTATGGTATGGGAAGGAAGAATAAGTTCAAAAAATTAGACTTTTCTCAGCTTTAAGCTCTAAGCTACACTAAGCTGACTTGTCTTCCTTTTTACCTATGTGAAATGCTTATCCTTTGACGGGAATGGAAGGCCAAAATTCACTCTGCTTTCTGCACTGGCTGTTGTTTGAATATTTTTATAATGATTACTTTTAAAATCATAAAAGAAATAGAGAATATATGTTTTAAGAATATATGTCTTTGTGTACACATTATCCTTACCCATGATAGAATCTTGTCTCAAGGAGGCAAAATGATAGTGAAGAGACATGAGTTCAAATCCAAAGTCTGCCAATAACTAGTTTTGTGATCTATGACTTGTTATTAAACTCTTCAAGTCCAAATTTCCTGATTGGCTAATGAAAAGGTCTCTAGAGACTTCTCCTGCTCTTTAAAACAAAAGGTAGTAAATAACTTCTGGACAAAAAAAAAGGCATTTGTCTTCTACATGTTGAGTTTCCAGATGTACTCTAACTTGAAATTTAAAGATTTTTCATGTTACATGTTTGTTATTCGGGAATTTTAAAATCCAGTTTTATATTCAGTTATTTCAAATGAATTACAATTCAGTTTCATGATCAACTATTTTTAAATTGTCAGGGAAAAGTTCATTTTCTACTCTTTCCTGCCTCATTCTGTCGAAAACACTAAAATTAAAATGAGTAGCAATTGAATCCATTTTTCTGCTCAAAAATTATTGACTTATAAAATTTTTTCTTCACCAGGATATTTTACAATATTTTCTCATTAGGAATTGTATGTATAAAAGAAAAGTTCAACTAACCTATGAAGTAAAGTATTATGATCCTTAAATATTTTGTCTTGTTGTGAAACTCTGTTCTGATAAATCTGTTCCCTCATATCTTATATATTCAACATGGCTGTTCACCTAGTTCTCTGTGAAGTGTCTGAGAACTATATCCAGAAGATCTAACCAGGAAAAGCCAGTAAGTTCCAAGAAAACAAAACAAAAATAACCTCCCAAACATGATCCTGAGCCTAGCCAAAAGCATGCAAGTTTCTGAAAGCTTAAACTGTACAAAGATTTTCTTAAGTAAGTAAATGTTGTTGTTGTTATCCTTTCCTTTATGATTTCAGAGTTTTCTGAGGAAATATTCCTTTTTAAAGATGTTGTGGTTATACTCAGTTAATACAGTCTACAGCTCTCTAAATATTCTCTCTTGCATTCCATATCACAGGTCTTCAGAGAGAGAGATATATATATATGTACATATAGACACACATATACATATATATATATCTTCAGATACATTTATAGGTGTGTGTGTATATATGTATGTGTATATATGTATATGTGTGTGTATATATACTCTTTAACATCAAGAGCAAAAATATGTCTATGTTACATAATAGGCAAAATATGGCTGGCCTGTATTTTTATTTTTGTGCATGTAAATAGCAGCAAAAAGCAACTTAAACTGACCATCTGAGACATCATAAAATGTGTCAGACTGTTAGAAAGCAAAGTGTAGAGTGTATTTACTAGATATGTTTGACCATGAAAGGTTCAGTGAGTCCCAGAATAAAGGAATGCCTCTCATACAAGTCTTAAACAAGAGCCAATCCAAATACTTTGATTGGAAGTCTAGTATGCGTGTTTATTTTTAACATTTGACTTCAAGTGCCTAAGATGTGGATGAAATATGGAATTGATTTTTTTCCTTGACAAACTTTTGTTATTGTGACTTAGGTTGTAGTACTTATTCTTTTACAAGATACCTATGACTCAATGGTTAGACATGGACTCTCTTAACTTTTAGCAGTTTACTTTTGCATAATATATGATAACTAACCAGTGTTAATTTCCTTGTTCTTCACAATGCATTAAACTTAGAGGCAAACTAGAATCTAGAGTCTTGATCTAGCTAAAAAAAATAAAAAAATAAATATAAATGTTTTAACTGAGGATCCAATAGTGAACAAAATAAACACATTCCTTACTGGTAAAGAAACAGCACATGCAGAAGACCTGTGGCTGGGTCAAATTGATCTGTTATAGACTTTTAGACTCTCATAATACACAGTCATGTGTATTATGTATTATGTGTATTATGTATTATGTGTATTACTCTCATAATACACAGTCATGTAATACACAGTCATGCATTGCTTAAGGACAGGAGTACCTTCTGAAAAATGCATCATTAGGCAGTTTTTGTCATTGTGTGAATATCACAGAGTGTCCTTAGGCAAACCTAGATGGTATATGGTGTGACTCCTAGGCTACGAACCGGTACATCATGTTACTGCACTGAATACTGTAGGCAGTTGTAACACAATGGTATTTGTGTATCTAAACATTTCTAAACATAAAAAAATGTAATGCATTGTGCTATAACAATATGACAGCTAAGCTATCACTAGACTACAGGAATTTTTCAGCTTCATTATCATCTTATGAAACCACCACCACATATATGGTCCATGTGTGACTGTATTTTGTTGTACCACTTGTCGAAGTTGAAACTTTACATTTAGGTGTGTAATTAATTAATGCAGAACGCTATTAAGAGACTTCAATGATATCTTAAGGATTTTAGCCTTCACAGCTAACATCATACTTAACCATGAAAAGCTGAAAGCGGCCGGGCGCAGTGGCTCACGCCTGTAATTCCAGCACTTTTGGAGGCCAAGGCGGGTGGATCACCTGAGGTCAGGAGTTTGAGACCAGCCTGGCAAACATGGTGAAACCCCATCTCTACTAAAAATACAAAGTTAGCCGGGCATGATGGCACATGCCTGTAATCCCAGCTACTTGAAAGGCTAGGCAGGAGAATCACTTGAACTCAGGAGACAGAGGTTCCAGTGAGCCAAGACCATGCCATTGCACTCTAGCCTTGGAAACAAGAGCAAAACTCCATCAAAAAAAGAAAGAAGGAAAGAAAGGAAGGAAGGAAGGGAGGGAGGGAGGGAGGGAGGGAGAAGGGAAAAGAAGAAGAAGGAGGAGGAGGAGGAGGAGGGGAAGAAGAAGAGAAAGAAAGAAGAAGAAGAAAGAAAGAAAGAAAGAAAGAAAGAAAGAAAGAAAGAAAGAAAGGAAAGAAGAAGGAGGAGGAGGAGGAGGAGGGGTACAAGAGGCAGTAAAGGTAGCAGTGCAGTAGCAGGTGCTATGCAGGTGCAGGAAAGCAGAAAGGTGGCAGAAGAAAGAAAGAAAGAAAGAAAGAAAGAAAGAAAGAAAGAAAGAAAGAAAGAAAGAAAGAAAGAGAAAGAAAGAAAGAAAAAGAAAGAAGGAAGGAAAGAAAGAAAGGAAGAAAGAAAAGCTGAAAGCCTTTCCTCTAAGATCAGGAACAAGACAAGGATGCCCACTCTTAATTCTATTCAATATAATATAGGAAGTCCTCACCAGAGCAATTAGGCAAAAAAAAAAAAAAAAAAAAAAAAAAAAAAGAAAGAAAAAAGAAAAAGAAAAGGCATCCAAATTGCAAAGCAAAAAGTTCAGTTCTCTTGGTTTGCAGATAATACACTCTTATATACAGAACACCTACAGACGATTAGAACAAATTTAAAAATTCGGTAAAATTGCTGGATACAAAATCAACATACAAAAATCAGTAGTGTTTCCATACATTAACAACAAATACCTGAAAAATAAGAAAATAACCCCATTTACAAAAGCATTAAAAAACTTAGAAATACATTTAAGAAACAAGGTAAAATTTCTGTCTACTGAAAACTATAAAAATACTGATGAAAGAAATAGAAGAAAAGACAAATATTCCACATATGTGATTCAGAAGAATTAATACTGTTAAAGTGTCCATGGTGCCCAAAGCAACCTACATATTCAATGCAATCTCCAGCAAAATTCAAATAATATTTTTCAAAGAAATAGGAAAAAAAATCCTAAAATTCATATAAAACCACACAAACAAAAAAATCCCCGAATACCCAAAGCAATTGCAAACAAAAAGAGCAAAGCTAGAGGCATCACACTACCTGATTCCAAAATATACCAAAAAGCTATTGTAATCAAAATAGCATAGTACTGGCATAAAAACAGGCAAATAGACCAAAGGAGTAGAATAGATAGCTCAGAAATCAATCCTCACATTTACAGTCAGTTGATCTTCAACAAAGGTGCCAAGAACACACAATGGGGTAGAGACAGTCTCTTCAATAAGTGGTGTTGGGAAAGCTGGATATCCACAAGCAGAAGAATGAAATTGGACCCTTATATCTCATCACATACAAAAACCAAGTCAAAATGAATTAACGACATAAAGGTTAAGGTCTGAATCCATAAAACTACTTGAAGAAAACAGAGAAAAAGCTTCTTAATGCTGATTTTAGCATTTTTTTTATATTACCCAAAAAGCATAGACAGCAAAAGCAAAAATAGACAAATGGGATTGCGTCAAACTAAAAAGCTTCTGTGCAGAAAGGAAACAATCAAAAGAGTAAAGTGGCAATCTACAAACTGGGAGAAAAATTTGCAAACCATATATCTGATAAGGGGTTTATATCCAAAATTTATAGGAAACTTAAAGAATTCAATAGCAAGAAAACAACCAAATTGGAAGTAGGGCGAAGGACCCAAATAGACATTTCTCAAAAGAAGATATAAAAATGGCCAACAGGTATATGAAAAAAATTAAAAAGTCAACATAACTAATCATCAGGAAAATGTAAATTAAAACCACAGTGATATATCACTTCACACCTGTTAGAATGGCTTCTATTAAAAATATAAAAGATAAGTATTGGTGAGAATATAGAGAAAAGGGAACCCTTGAACACTTTGATGGGAATGTAAATTAGTAGAGCCATTATGGAAAATAGTATGAAGGCTTCTCAAAAAATTAAAAATAGAACTACAATATGATTCAGCAATTCCACTACTTGGCATATATCTAAAGGAAATGAAACCAGTATGTTGATGGGATATCTGCACTTTTATGCTTATTTCAGCATTATCTACAATAGCCAAGGTATGGAATTAACCTCAATGTCTGTCAACAGATGAACAGATTGAGAAAATGTGAGATTTTATACACACACACACACACACACACACACAGCCTTACAAAATAAGGAAATTCTGTCATTTGTGATAACATGGATGAAAATGAAGTATATTATGCTCAGTGAAATAAGCCAGGCAAAGAAAAACCAGTATCTTCCAGGGAGTTATAATCTTTTTGCTAGTGGAGGGTGTTGCCTCAATGTTGACTGCAGCTGACTGATCAGGATGCTAGTTGCTGATGGTTGAGATGGCTGTGGCAACTTTTAAAAATAACAATGAGTTCCATGACGACAGAGCCCTCACTGAGCTGGCAGGCCCCTCCATGGATCACTGGCACCAAGGCGCTGTCCAGATAATTCATGTAGTGCGAGGGAAGGTGCTGGCCATTTCTCCCTGCTTGATAGCCGACCTGATCTGAATCAAGTGTCACACGTAGTCCCAGTTTGGTCATTCCGTCTTCCTTCAGAAGCTTCAGGTGAGGACAGAGAGCAAGGCAAAAAGCCTTGGTAACATGCTCAGTCAATCTACTGTGATCTGCAGGATCACTGAGGCAATTGTGCTGGTCATCATTTTCTAGGAAAAACACCTCTGTCCATCTGATGACTTTTCCATTTGCTTTACATTCTGATCCATGGAATATCTTCACATTTGTTATAGTCTCCATGGACTTCCCATCTATAGGACTTACGACACCCTTGCTAACGTTCTTGTCATCATCCACCCATTGGATGTGGATGTGTTCCTGGGGTTCCTCTGCGTCCGCCTTCCCACAGGTGATGCTGAAGTCCTTCATCTCTCGCAGTGCCTGCCTCAAGGAATCCATGTTCTCTGCAGTGATCTGGACCATAACGCCATCTTCCATAATACTGGACTTGGCAAGGTATCCAGAAAAGGATTTCAGAGTGCCACTGAACACAAAGAAACTGGCACCAGTCACTTTTCTGGGCTGATTGTGAATACTGATAGCCTGGGTCTGATCATTTCCATCATCATTCTGCACATACACAAGATAAGAATCTGCTTTTTCATTGAAGCAGGCACCTCCTGCCAGGACATGCTCATTGGACTTGTTCATGGCTTTCATCATCTCATTTTATCTGTTGCTGGGAATTTTTATGCCGGTTTTCTAAACTTCCATATCAACCACCAACCTTGAACTGACAAGGTATACTGATAATTTCTGAACTCTGCAAGAAGATTCATGATGATATGCCCCATCTCTCCAAATAATGGCTTCTGAGATCTGACACTGAATAGTGGGCGTGGATAAAATAGATATTCAGCTCCAAGTCTCAACATCAGATGGATAGGAAACACTTTAGCCCTAGGAGTTTGCCATTTCTGGATAAGAATCCCAAAGAAGTAAGGTGGGTTTGGGAGTACTAGGTGTTGCAATGACTGGTAGGTAGATGTCACATATAAGAATCCACCATGTGTCCGGGTGTGGTGGCTCAAGACTGTAATCCCAGCACTTTGGGAGGCCGAGGCGGGCGGATCACGAGGTCAGGAGATTGAGACCATCCTGGCTAACACAGTGAAACCCTGTCTCTACTAAAAATACAAAAAAAAAAAAAATTAGCCGGGCATGGTGGCAGGCGCCTGTAGTCCCAGCTACTCGGGAGGTTGAGGCAGGAGAATGGCATGAACCTGGGAGGCGGACCTTGCAGTGAGCCGAGATCACGCCACTGCACTCCAGCCTGGGTGACAGAGCAAGACTCCATCTCAAAAAAAAAAAGAAGAGAAAAGAATCCACCATGTTTTTTACTGCCAAGGAAACATTGACTAAAGAAGGAGTGTCCCAAGTTGCCTACCACATTCCTTGCCAGAGCATCCTGATAAAGTCACACAAAGTGATTAAAGACATCCTTTGGCAAACACTTTCCATCCGGTAGACACTGTAGAAGAATGACTATCTCAGACTGACCCACTGCATGCATTCCCTTGGTTGTAAAACACCAGCACTTCCTGTTCATATAATTTACAATTTTAAGCATTGACAACAAATATGCATTTAAAACAAATAAAGGTGGGTCAGGGCCACCATCCTCCAACTGCTGCATTACTGAAATAAATGTGATGGTTTCTCTTCCACAGTATAGTCTCCTTTTACACCAGTGGAGATGAGAATAGGAATAAGGCCATCTTCAGGAATAAGGCTCACTGCACTTCCAGCAGGACTTCTCACCTGAGAATAGAGGAATATCCGTCTCTGCTGGTAGAGGACTGGTAGTTACTGGCTTGACTGGGTCATGTGACACAGCTAGGGTTCCTGCAGAGGAAGTTCCATTCATTGTTAATTTGGCTTCATCAGCAACATCTCTTTTGCTATTTCCACCACATCTCAAGTTACTTCGTCCACTGACTTCTTGACCCTCTCAGTCAACCATAGTGATTAGAATCAGCTACTTCAAAACTCCAGTTAATGTAATATTTTAACTTCCTCCCATGAATCACAAATTTACTTAATGGTATCTAGAATGGTGAATAAGGAAAACCAGAGGTTTTTCTTTTACTTTACCCAGATTCATCACAGGAATCACACTCTATATTAGCTACATATAGCCTTATAAAATATATTTCTTAAGACTTGAAAGTCAAAATATCCCCTTGATCCATGGGCTACAGAATGGATGTTGTGTTAGTAGGCAGTAAAACAATATTCATCTTCTTGTACATCTCTACCAGAGCTCTTGGGTGTATTGTCAATGAAAAACAACAATATTTTGAAAGGAATCTTGTTTTTTCTGAGCAGTAGGTCTCAACAGTGGACTTAAAATAATCAGTAAACCATGCTGTAAACAAATGTGCTGTCATCCATGCTTTATTGTTCCATTTATACAGTACAGGTAGAGTTGATTTAATGTGATTCTTAAGGGCTCCAGAATTTTTGAAATGGTAAATGAGCATTGGTTTCAACTTAAAGTCACCAGCTGCATTAGTTTCTAACAAAAGAGTCAGCCTGTCCTTTGAATCTTTGAAACGAGGCATTGACTTCTACTGTCTAGTTATGAAAGACTTAGATGACATCTTTCTATATAAGGCTGTTCCATCTATATTGAAAATCTGTTGTTTAGTGTAGTCACCTTCCTCAGTTTTCTTAGATAGATCTTCTGGATAACTTGCTCCAGCTTCTACATCAGCATTTGTTGCTTACTTTGTACTTTTATGTTATGGACATGGCTTCTTTCCTTAAACTTCATGAAGCAACGTCTGCTAACTTCCATCTTTTCTTCTGCAGCTTCCTCACTTCTCTCAGACTTCATAGAATTGAAGAGAGTTAGGGCCTTGGCCTGGATTAGGTTTTAGGTTAAGGGAGTGTTGTGGCTGGTTTGATCTTCTATCCAGACCACTAAAACTTTCTTTATATCAGCAATAAGGCTGTTTTGCTTTCTTATCATTTGTGCGTTCATGGGAGTAGCACTTTTAATTTCCTTCAAGAACTTTTCCTTTGCATCCACAATTTGGCTAATGCAAGAAGCATTTCCTTTTGGCCTATATTGGCTTTCAACATGCCTTCCTCACTAAGCTTAATCATTTTTAGATTTTGACTCAAAGTGAGAGACTTGAGACTCTTTCCTTTAACTTGAACACTTCAAGGCAATTGTAAGGTCATTAATTGGGCTAATTTCAATATTGTTCTGTCTCAGGAAATACGGAGTCCCTGAGGAGATGGACAGAGAGGAAAGAATGGCCAGTTGGTGGAGCAGTCAGAACACCTACAACATTTATTGGTTAAATTTGTTGTCCCATACGGGCACTTTTTATGGTGCCCCAAAACAATTAAAATAGTAACATCTAAGATCACTGACCACAGATCTTCATAACAGATATAACAATAATAAAAAAGTATGAAGTGTTGTTATAATTTTTTTTCTTTTTTTGAGATGGAGTCTCACTCTGTCACCCAGGCTGGAGTGCAGCGGTATGATCTCGGCTCACTGAAGCCTCCGCCTCCCGAGTTCAAGTGATTCTCCTGCCTCAGTCTCCCAAGTAGCTGGGATTACAGGTGCTTCCCACCATGCCTGGCTAATTTTTGTATTTTTAGTAGAGATGGGGTTTTACCATGTTGGCCAGGCTAGTCCCGAACTCCTGACCTTAAGTGATCTACCTGCCACAGCCTTCCAAAGTGCTGGAATTACAGGCATGAGCAACTGCACCTGGTCTGTTGTGATAGTTACCAAAATGTAACACAGAGACATGAAGTGAGCACATGCTATAGGAAAAATATTGCTGATAGACTTGCTTGATGCAGGATTTCCACAAAACTTCAACTTATTTTAAAAAATGCAAAATCTACAAAATGAAATGAAGCAAATATAATGAGGTATGACTATACTAAAAACCATTGAATTGTACAACTTAAATGGCTGTGTTTTATAATACCTGAATTAAATCTCAGTAAAGCTGTTACCAAAGAAAGTCTACTGCAATAGCTTGACTGAGTTGCTACTAATAAAGATGGAGATAAGTGGATGAATTTGAGAGGTATTTTCAAGGTAAAATCAACAGGACATGTTGATGGATTTGATGTGGAAGTTGAGAGGAAGGGAAGTATTGAGGATGACTCAAATTCTTAGCTTACACAACTGTAAGTAGCTGTTTTGGTACTCTGATACAAAACACGAGGAGGAGCAAGTCTGAGAGAAGAAATCTAAGTTCACACTCAGGCCAGTTCAATTTCAGATGCCCTTGAGATATCCCAGTGGAGATGTTGAGTTGGACATAAGGGTTTAAGGTTCATGGGAGAAACCTGGGTTGGAGATATAAATCTTTATTTATGCTCCAGAGACACACTGAGCATGAAGATATTGTAAGCCATGGGAATAGATTAAATCATTCAGAGGAAGAGTATGGAGTAGGATGGTAAAAATATCTAGAACAGTGCCCTGGTGAACTTCAATGCTTAATAACCAAGTAAAGGAGGATAAATCTGCAAAGGAGCAATACAAAAGTGGGCAAATAAAACAAAGGGACTGCAGTTTCATAAAAGGCAGGGGCAAAATGTACTTCAAGAAGGAAGGGAAGATTGTCTGTATCAAATGCTACTGAGGGATTGAATAAGATAAGGACTGAAAATTATTTGTTAGACTTAGTGACTTTATTGTCATTGGTGACCTTAGTGAGAACTATTTTAACAGAGTGGTGTGGGTGGAAGTTTCAAGGACCATACAAAAGACTCACTATTGTATTAGGGCTGGGAGAGCTGGGGAAAGAAATTATCCATAAATGTGTAGGAAGAACATGCTACTGTGATAAATATCAATGACATATGTTTATTGAATTTCATATGCAGATTCTTCATGTCAAAACATCTTATTTGTATGCTTTCGTAGGATTATCATGTTAGAAATGCTATACTATGAAATAGCCCACAACCTACCTTGGAGGTCTTTATAGACCACTCATGCGTTTCAGGCATCTGTGTTTAAGAAATCTATGCATCAAAATAACTGCTAGAAAAAAAGAAATTAAACATAGTTATGGAAGCCTGAGGAAAAAAGTTACTTCTTTTCACTGGGCCTCAGAGTATTCAAATTTAAAATGATAAAGGTGGACTAGTCCACTTTCAGCTCTCCCATTGTATCAGCATTATCTACGGTCATTCAACTTGTAAATAAGCACCTCTATACCCTCTGTGTTTTCACAGAACACCTCTTTCCTGCCCTAATGAAGAAGACTTGGCTCTTTACAAAGACAATGAGCCTCACCATGCAGCTCTCTCCAATTAAAGCTGCTTGAGCTCTAAACAACAAATTCTGCGATGGATAGGGTCAGGTAGCATAGGGAACCAGCACCATCCTGCCTTCCCATTGCCCTTACCAGGCCATTGCTCCAGCTTCATGAAAAGCCTCACTGCCCATGAAGTTCACACCATCTGCAGATGCTATCTTTTACTCCTTCCCAGGATGATCATCTACCTCTCTTTTGGACATTTTCCTTCATTCACTGAGGACTCTGGTATCTGGCTTACTGGCATCCTCTCTACCTCAATTCCTGGCACCATTGTCCAGTTGGAAGAGCTATTTCACATCCTATACTCACATTCCTTCACCTGCACAGTTCTCAGGGTCACATCCTGGATATTGCCACCTTCCAAAATGGCTTCACCTTGAAGTCATAGATTCATACATTCAATTTTCTGACCAAGACTGCCCATCTTTCAGTCTAGGCCTTCTCCTTGGTCAAGTCTTTTCTCCAGGTTTCAATGCATTCTG